CTTTCCCCTGAGGCTTCATTAACCCTCCATCTGGCGAAGCTGTCATGTGGCCCCAGCTTGTGAGGCAGCAGCCACCTCGGTCCAGCTGTAGATGCTCCGTGGGCCACCTTCGGGTGTGACGCTAACGTTCGCTTTGGGAGCTACAGCAGACCAGCTGCCAGCGCACCTTTCACGCAATGAACTACTTCGTGCTCCGAGTATGGCCCCCCAGGCCTATCAGAAGTCTCACTTACTCCAAACGTAAGTGATTCTAGGTTGCTGACCTCTGCTAAGGCTGCATGCAGGAAACACCATCACGGCCTCTTCCAGAAGACAAATGCCGTGTTCAGTGAAGTAATACCGTGCCCCTTCCACCCAGGTGCAAACCCTTCTAGAATGTTCCCTGTTAGGGGGAATGGGTTCAAATCCCAGGCTTCAGTGATTTCCTTTATATCTGGATTCTTTTTGATGACCTATCTATTTTATAGAAAAAAATAATTTAAAAGTACTTTATCTTCATATTCAATTATATATCAAATTCACTGAACAATTAGAAGCAGAACATCTGGACTGTGGGAGGCAAAAGGTGCTCATACGTGGGTTTTGATGCTTTACGATCTGGCAAACTCGGTAGATCTTAACAAACAGTAATATGCACACGTTGTGCACCGTAGTCAGCCCTGCAGCCAATAAACTCATGACTTTCTGTGAATGACTCCAAAAGCACTTATGCCTCGTTTGCCCAGTGATCCCACATCCTTTTTTAAAGAACTGACCGTTAGCATCACCATTATCCGATAAGGATCAAAGGGTAATGTGGCCTGCTAGCCACGTCTTTCTTAATAAAAACAAACACACACACAAACCGACCAAACATCCCCGTCCTCCCAGTTTCTAGAATCACAGCTCACTTCTGGTGCCTGCGCGCACGGGCCGGGCGGGAGTACCTGGATCTCCTCGATGCTGTGCACGATGAACATGTCCTGCAGGTCCTCCATGGCGCCTTCCATCCAGTTGTGGAAGGGCGCCGCTCTCTTGGCGAACTCCAGGTGAAGCTGGTCGATGGTTTCCAGCAATTTCTCAGTTCTCTGAAGATTATCAAGCATTACCACAGATTAAACCATAAAAAAAGGTCTCCGACAATGTAAACATGCATTCCAGAGCGTCACACCACTGTCTGAAGGCTTGGGAATCACAACGCTCCCGTAACTAACGGTCCGCCTGCGGGACGAAGCGAGGTCAGCCTCCTGGGGCCGAGCCCTACGGGTCTGGGAAGTACCTTCTCAGTCGGGGGAGGATTTGGTGGCGTCCAGAGCAGCCTCGTTTTGAGTAAAGTAACCAACCCCCTACATGCCACCTTCTGAAAACCTGAGGCTCCACGGAGGGTGTACGGTGACTTGCTTTGTAAGTCAGAGCATGCGATTCCCTCACCACGCCGGGGAACAGAGAATTCAGACCACCTTCCTCGTTTTAGGGAGCGGCATGCAGAGAGGATGGCGTGCCCTTCCAGAAAGTCACCCGCCTCGTGAAGATAGGAGAAGCTACAGCTTAATGTTCTCTAATCCTCATTCGGGACTGAACACAGAGTCCTTCTTTGCTTTTCTGGACAAATGCAATCATGAGGCTTCAAGCCCCAGAACGATACCATGCTTGTTTCATGTGGCAGGAGGAGGCGGAGCCGACAGGGAAGGCATCTGTATCACACATCTTTCACAATTAGACTCATTTTTCCTCTCGTTCTAAAGTATTTGAGCTGTCTCTGTTACATGCCTGTCCTTCCTATCCATCACCATTTCTTTCTTCGGGTGGACATGGAATAGCTATTTCGCATCTAGGAGCCTGATATCATGCATTTTAAAACTTCATCAGAGTCAGGGTGAGAAGACTCAGAAAACTGGTAACTGCTTCTTTCCTTCACATCGTCCGAGTCGTCTACGGTAAAAGATAATTAGGCACAGTTGCCCCCGCCCCCCCGGAATTCGCCGGTTTCACTTTGAGCAGTTTTAGTTACCCATGTGATCTGAAAATATTAAGTTTCCCCAACCACCGACATCATCTGCTCCCAACAGCCAACCATCAACGTCATCATGGCTCAATGATCCGGGATCGCCCGAAGCCGATGATCCTCCTCCTGACAGAGGTCAGTGGGAGGCTAACCCACGTCACAGTGGTCATCTACCCCACGTCATCTCACATCACAGCAAGAAAGGTGAGTCCAGTATGACGAGATATTGGCGGGGGGACCACATTCACATAACTTTTATTACAGTGTATTATAACTGTCTTATCCTATTATTATTATTAATATCTTACTGTGCCTAATTTATAAATCACACTTTACCATAGGTATGTATGTATAGGAAAATACAGTATAGATAGGGTTTGGTACTGTCCATGGTGTCAGGCGCCCACTGGGGGTCTTGGAACGTATTCCTCCGTGAGAAGGGGGGCCAGCTGTACGGTTAAATACCAGCCACTTACTGCCATTTACCCAAGTCTTATGCTTTACTAAGGCCAGATTCATCCAACTGTTTCGTGTCACTTTTCCTTACTTCAGCGTTTGCTGTCATTTCCCTTCGCACATCTCTCACTGAGTTCTTCCTGACCCTGACTCGGTCACAGCCACCAACTTCCCATTTCTCTCTTTCTCCTGCTTTTCATACTGTTTAGAGGCTCCTTTCATCGGGCAATCTGTTTTGTTTTATGCACGTAACGCCACAGAAATACAAGAAATTAAAACAGGGACTGGATTAAAGAGCCCCTATTACAAGATTTCACGCAAGCAGATGGCTTAAAGACCTCACCTCCAGGGCCTCTCTCCTCTTCTGTGTGAGCGTCCCCAGTCTGTCCCACTGGTCACAGATCTTCTGGCATCGATCGTTGACATTCACGGCGTCATGATAGTCCAATTCACTAGTAGAAGTAAAAAATAACAATTAGCTTTTCCTGTCAAAATAAACAGATTATATACGTGTGTGTGTGTGTGTGTGTGTGTGTGTGTGTGTGTATTTTTAAATAAGATCAGATAGAGAATTGGCTGGTATTTCAGAGTTTTGTTAACGGCCACCGCGGCAAACATGATCGTTACTCTGACGGATTACGAGAACAATGAGTGACACTCTCACTGGTCAGCGGACTTGTCCTCTCAATGCCTCGGGCCACCATCGCTCTCCCTCCCGCTTTGCTGGCCAGGCCTCCAGAGGGCATTGCTTTTAAGTGGTACTGCATCTGTCAGTAGAGCCGGCTATCGGATCTGGAGGACCGTCCTGCGGCCACGCTGAAGCCACAGTGCCTGGAACACCAAAATGAGTCCAGGGCAGGAGGCGGCAGCTTGCGCCCAGGTGTCCCCGGCCCCTCTCGCAGGGCGGTGGGCCCCGCGTCTCACCATGGGGTGTGCATCCTGTCCAGAGCAGGCGCTGAGACTCCAGCACCGGAAGGACGTGACTGCCTGGCAGAACAGAGCCCCGCTCGCGGACCAGGAGGTCTGATCGTGTGACAGCGAGAACAACATTTCTCAGTAAATAATTCCTCCTCCTCACCTGCCTGCCCAGACGTCCCAACGGGAGCTTTGTGAGCGGAAGTCATTTGAACTTACCATTCAAGCAAATTCTCAACTAGAAGGTTACCGTGGTATCTCCAGGGATAAAAAGTTTGAATTCTATACAAAAATGGGTTAAGTCTTTCAGTTAAGATGAAAGTGAGACTCACAAAGTTTCAAGACATCTTCACGAGGCTTCTCCTTCAAAGCGTCCAGACAAGACGGCCTCAGGAAACTCCCTGTCCTGCCACACCCGTTCCCAAAGCTCAAGTGTTTTATTTTTCAGTAAATGAACCTCGGTTTGTTTTAATAAGACCTTAAACTCAGACAATCCTTGTTCATTACCTGTTTTCTTCCCTCTTACATAACTTGTCCTTACTGAGTGTTATTGCTGCCGTCCCTGGAGAGAGGAGATGCCTGCAGCTGTGATGGGAGTGTTCGCCCAGTGGGTAAGACGCTCCCTGCCACCCAGTTAAAGCCCGTTTGGTTCTTACGGGCAGCTTTCCACACACGTGTACACTTCTCTGATGGAGGGACGAAGACCCTGGTGTTGACTGTTTTAACCCCGCCCCCCCACACACACACCAAAAAAACCCACACAGCACACAAGCTATTTGCACAGACTTGAATGCAAAGTGAAAAAGCTCTGTCTGGCTCTTCCAAATGCAAATATTAAAGAGAAAAAGCCTTCAAAAACAAAAGCTAGGTCTCCTACTAATCCATAACGGCCACCAACGCTCATGGACACAGCATCCCGTGGCGAGGGTAATGATTCTCCCTCCTCTAACTCATACGTGTTAGTTCTACACAAACTGCTTCAGAACTTGTGTAACGGGGTTTGCATAATGGGGCACACTATTTTTTACTGACTTTGAGAACTGCACACATACTTCGATTTACTGTTTTAGGAAAGGTGAAAAGGACGGGGACATTAGTGACATTAAGATGAGCCACATATAGGATATAAATTCTATATGGTTCCTCTCTTGACTGTGTGGAGAAGTAGGCATTGGGGATAATAATATAAAATTATTACTTAACTTTTATGGGCAACACTTAAAACCATTTCAGATGACTCACGGGAGCTATTGCAGAGCATTAAACGGCTTGAGCTTCCTTCATCTCCTTATTTTGTGAGTGACGGCTAACGAGCCGCCAGATATCTGATATTCAGGAAGCATGAACGGTACGAGAAGGTCAAGGCCGCGGATACAGTGCGCAGACTGGCTGGGACGGCCACGAACACATGTGAAGGGTTTACTTGGGCAAGGCTGAAACACAGGATGCTCTTAAAGAGGCCGAATCCGTCAGTTAAGGCGTTTGCTCTCATCGAGAGCGAGGAGCCCGGGAGTTTAGAAATGTAACGTATTAAAATAAATATTTTTGTTATCATTATGTGATAAGCTCTAAACGTGTTGCAGACAAATCAGTGATTATAATGAGGGGGAAAGGAATAGAGGATGAAATTTTTTTATTAAAAGGGGGAAAGGGTCTTTCGAAAAAACTTGCAAATACTGCAAGGAGGCCCCTCTCCCAGAGGCTGGCCGGGAACTGTCACTCGGCTTAGACCAGCCTGGGCTCTGTCGCATGCTAGTTCCTCCCGTAAAACAACAAGAGCGGCGACGAAGCACACTCATTTGACAATAAAGGAAGTGGGCTCCTGCCTCCCGCTGCGGCATGAGGCCGCGATGGCTGTTTCGTTCTGGCCTCTGGGAGCACAATGTGGTCTGTCGGCTGCATCAGGCCTGGCGAGGCCGCCTTTCCGAGCGGCACGCCCGGCCTCCCCACTGATTTCTCATCCTCTTGGTCAGGGGCGGCCTGTGCTGGGGCTGGGGTGCTGCTGGGCGGGGGGACACACGGAAACTACCACAACCGAAGAACCGAAGCCAAACCAGTCATCCGTTTAAACAAACCAGCATCCCATCACGGGGACCTCCAGCTCGGTTCCCTAAACTCCACACAGGACAGGAAAGGCAGGCCCGCGCCCCTCCCGGGCAAGCTCTGGGGTGCCCAGGGAGTCCTCTCAGTGCCCATGTCACGAGGTCCCGGAGGATGCACGTACTTGAGCTCCTGTGCGATGGCCGCGATCTGCTCCACCCGGTCCTGGTGAGCCGCCAGGTCGCTCTCGAAGGCTTCATGCTTCCGTAGCAGGGCCCGCACCTCCGTCAGTGACGCCGACTCATAGTCCTTCTGCAGCAAGATTTGCTCTTTGCCTGCAAGGTCGGAGCAAGGGTGTGACTGCTCCAATGCCACACACCAGCTTCTTTGTGCCCGAAACGTCCTCAGTGATAGTTAACCGAGAGAAGGGTGGGGAGGAATGACAGGGCTGAACACGCGGGGGCCACACTGTGATTGGTTCGGGCTGTCACTCTGCTAACGATGAAAGCTCACGTCTACAAGTTTAGGGGGAAGCTGGTTGGGTACATTCTGAACAACAAACATACCTAACTCATGATCCTAGGTAACAAGTATCTGACTGTCCGGTGTGACTGATGCTCAGTTAAGTTAGTGATTATTGGCTCACGGAGTCACCTGGCATCATCAGATAATACACTTATACTGTCGGCCTGTCCACGGGTTCAACCTTTACCCCAGTTCTTTTAGCCTGTGGCTTTTTTCCCTAATAAATTACAAATTTTTCTCTCTGAACCTTCACCTATTTCCCCACAAATACAGCTTACATCGAGTCACTGGAGCCACACTCATTCCCCAGCTGATGGCCTTTAACATTGAGTTCCATAAACCTAGAACTAGAGGGCAAATGATCACATATTCCACAACGACAACGGAGCACTTCCTATGTGCCAGATGCCGATTTAAATACTTTATAAATATAGACCTATTAGATCTTCATCGAAACCCCGTGAGGGAGGCATGACTGTCATCCCCACTTTGAAGAGGACACTGGGGCCCTGAGAGGCTCAGAACTCGCCCCAGGCTCCCAGCCGGGCAGTGGCGAAGCTGAGGCTCCAAGCGCCCGGCTGCGGTCCGGGTCCGAGCCTGCGAGCGTGTCGCGTGCAATTTGACAGTCAAACCGCGATACAGCAAAAGGGAAGCACAGGTCCCCTGCCCTCCCCCAACAGGATGACTCTGCCACGATAGAGTTTTGTTCTTCCCGGGCAGCAGCCCGCAGCCGGCCAGCAAAGCATGACGAGCACAGGTCCTGGCTCCGGGAGTAGGCATGTGTGCAGGCCCAAGAGAAGGAACGACTGACTCTACGTGACACGAGGAAGCTCAGGCTAGAGAACGGCGCTCTGCCTCCTCCTTTCACGCAGGTTCTCTGAGTGGGAACTCATGCTGCTTCGTGGCGTTTAACGAACATCCTATTGGCAGAAGCCGGGCTGTCCGACCCACCCACAGTTAGAGAATAAACAGATACGTGTGGAATCAAATGGAAAAACGTGGGGAAGGCAGGAGACGTGACACGAGGAAGCTCAGGCTAGAGAACGGCGCTCCGCCTCCTCCTTTCAGGCACGTTCTCTGAGTGGGAACTCATGCTGCTTCATGGCGTTTAACGAACATCCTATTGGCAGAAGCCGGGCTGTCCGACCCACCCACAGTTAGAGAATAAACAGATACGTGTGGAATCCAACGGAAAAACGTGGGGAAGGCAGGAGAGGCCGGGCCCCACGCAGGGAAGGGTGGGAAGAACACATCTGGAGAGCCGTTTTGTGAAAATACACACAATCTGCTTGATTAGAAGATAAATCTTCGTACCGTCTCTTGAAGAGGTTCAGTACGAGACAGCAGAGCAGAGAGGCGGGGACATGTGCCCGCAGGCATCAGGGATGGCGTTAGGAGCACCCGCTTCCTGCGGCTCTGTCCGCAGCCCCCCTCTCGAGCTTGCGGAACCTCCGCCCGAGCCGGGCCGCTCACCGTAAGCCCAGGTCTCGTGTGTGGACGCCTTCTGCCTGAACTTCTCGGCCAGGTGCTCCACACGCTCCAGCCTGCGGATCTCGTTGAGCAGCCACTCCTCGTAGCCCTTCTCCGCCTGCTCCAGCCTCTGCCAGGCCCCGGCGATGTCCTGGGCGTGCGAGGATAGAGCGGTGACCCTCCGATCTCTCGGCGCCCCCGCGACCCCCTCCGCTGCGCGCCTGACGGTGTTCTGTTTCCTTTCCCTTCCCGAACCTCCCACCTGTCTGCTGTCTGCTGTGTTCCGGGCATCGCGCATGTGCCGGGCACGAGCCAGGGACTTTATATAAGAGGAAGCAACATCTGTAAAGCCCCTGCTTCCATGGAGCCTTCATGATGTTAGGGAAAGCAAGACAATAAGTAAGTAATTACACGAGTTCGTGTCGGACAGTGAAGCTCGCGATGGAACACGAAACAGTGTCGGGTGATGCTGAGAGCCCCCGGGGGTGGCCCCTGCAGGCTGGTGACTTACAGGAGACGCTTCCCCTCTGAAGGGGTGGATCTGAGCCGAGACCTCAGTGACAGTGCAGAAGTGGGGGGCGAGTGCTCCAGGATGGGATTGAAGGGGGGGGTGAGGGTGCGTGTGCGTGAGGAAAACCACGACAGGCCTTGTGGCCACGTGGCCGGAGAGGGCAGAGCATGTCGGGTCATGCAGGCCAGGAAAATAGTCTGCATCTGATTCTAAACATTTTGGGAAGTCACTGGAGGGTTCTGAGGAGGAAGGACATGCTCCGATTCACGTTTTAAGAAGGTGATGGCGGCTATTGCACCAAGAATGAATTTTAGGGTCAAAGGAAAAGAGCCATTAAGAGGGATACTGCAGGGCCCGAGGAGAGAGGACGGTGGCCTGGCACAGGGCGATGGGCGTGGAGTAGAGAGAAGGACACGGATTTGAGGTATAATCTAGAAGTAAAGCCAGCGGGACTGGCTGAGGAACCGGATGCGAGAAAGTGACAAAAAGGGAGGGTCGCTGGTGACACCTGGGTTTGGGGCTTTAGTGACTTAGGGAATGGTGATGCCATCTACCAAAAACGAGAACACTGCGGGCGACTCCTGGATATGCTAGGTCCGAAATGCTTTTGAGACACTGAAGAAGATACATGGGCCTAGAAAGCGTCAGTCAGATCCGGAGACTAAAATCTGGGAGGCGTCGGCATTTAGATGGCGATTGGAGCCAAAGGCCTGGGCGAGATCACGTGCAGGGTGTGAGAAGAGGGCCAGCGCGAAGCCAGGAGCGTCCGGCTACAGACTGGGCAGAGGAGGCGACGCTTCGAGCAGTGACTGAAAGGGCTCGATGAGGTAGGAAGCAAACGGGAAGTTCCAGAATGAAAGGAACTTCAGGAAGGAGGTCAAAGCCATAGAGAACGGGAAAACAGAAGCGACGACTGAATGGACCGTCGGCGTGGGCATTGCTGACTTCGGTGAGAACAGCTCAGGGGAGGGGACAGAAGCCAGTTCCCTGCTGGCTGAGGAGTAGAAGCAGAGGAGCCGGGAGGAGCCGGAAGTCGGTCCCTTAAGGCCTCTTTCCAGACGTGCAGCTGTGAAGGGCAGCCGAGGACCGAGACAGTGCTACAGGGAGACGTGGAGTCACGGAAGGAGTCACAGAACTCCGTGTGCGGATGCGAGGGATTCAGCGGAGAAGAAGGCGGATGCGGACCGAGCCCTCGAGGAGGAGGAACGGGCGGGTCACAACAGCAGGGGACAGAGGGCACATGCAGGGATGGCGGGGGACCTGTGGGGACACGCGGCCAGTCGTGAGGGGGCAGGAGAGGACGAGAGCCCTTCGCGAGGGCTCATTAAGGGCCTGCTGTCTGTGAGGCACCCTGCCAGCGCGGTGAGGAGTCAGGGGCTGCATCATGGTCGGAGGAAAGACCACCAACGAAGTGGCTGCAAGGCCAGATTGACCTCTGCTACCTGAGGAGGCTGGAGGAGCCACGGCTCCCCCTCAGCAGCCCGTCGGGAGAAGACTTTAGGAAGGAGGGGGCGCCCCACCCGAGCCTCTCACCGACACCATCTTGCCCTCGGAGGGCATGAAGGCCGGCCGGTTGCTGATCCTCAGCTTGGTCTGCAGGGTGTTGAAGTTGATCTCCAGCTGGCACTTCTCCTGCACCTTTGGGGGCTTGTGCTTCCGACGGTAGTCTCGGAAGTCCTCCAGCTTCTTCTGCATGGCCTGCATGGTCTTCTCAGGGGTCCGGTTCTCCAGCCAGGGGATGGTGCGGCGAATCCATTCCAAAAGCTGTTCCCGAAACAGAAAAGTCCTACACCAGCGCTCGGCCCTGGCTGAGAAACAGAGGAACCTAGCGATGGGGTGGGATAAGCTAATGGTTCTAAAACTACAGGTTAATACCCCGGCTGCCAGGAAAGGAAAGGCACCCTGCCCAAGGACGAAGACGTCCATCCACCCACGGCCGCTAGCGGTCGCCCCAACAACGCCAGACGCAGGTCGAAAACTTAGAGTCGGCACAGGTCCATGGTTTACAAAAATGTAACATTTACAGGAGAGTCGGGGACCAGACAGTAGCAGACGAATGCTGGATGGAGCTTTCAAATGAAAAAAGCAAAAACAAACAAAAAAACACCTGACATGGCAGAATGTAGTGTAACAAAATAAGCGAAGAATTTGATTCACGTTAACACGTATTTGTATTTTAAATAAGCTCCAATGTAATGAATTTATTTACCAGACAAATGTGCTGCAGATCTGGGGCTGACTCAACGCCAACGTATATTTTAATCTGATATCTGGCTTTCAAGGAAATTTACATGAGAGCGGGAGTCAATTCCTAAGGACAAAGGGTATTTTCTCAAGTTCCTACTCATCTTAGAAATGACCTGCTAAAAAGCCACGATCTTACTAAAAATTAGTCAAAGTGGCAATGCGCCCACAGCCCGAGGGTCTGAGGAGAGGGGGCTGTGATGACCGAGGATCACTGTCCTCTGGTGCCGGCCATGCTTCGGCCTTGAGGCTGATCACTGGCATTAAACAACACGGCCAAACTGACTCTTCCCACAGCAGCAGCAGGAAAGCATAAACTCAGCGTCATTAGATCGGATGAACACAAACCACTGCTTGGGAAGGTTCAGTCCAAGTGTCCTGGGACTTTTCCCAGAACAGACCAGATATCAGCTAAATCAAGTCAGGGCAAAATTATTCGGCCTCTGATACTTGTGATTGCGATCGAGTTCCGTCTAGGGACGACGTGGCTGGGAACCTCACTCAGACCACGACGTGAGTGGGGAAAACGGCACGGTGGCCGTGACAAGACCCTCGAGTTCCTATTGCTGCCAAAATAAGAACAAAAGAGCAACATGGAAAGTGCTTTTCCAAGCGAGAGCCTGGCTGACGAGCTCAGAAGGGCATCGCGGGAACAGTGCGTGTATCTGGA